TTTTTGTATGAGCTTGAATGTTAAGGCTATATGTAAGATCTTGAGGGCTAAAAATTGATCGGTGTGTGGATGAATAAGGTGGTTGTGGAATTAGCTGGTATAGGTAGGATGAGGTATTATTCACAGTAAGATAGTACGGAGAGTAATCTTGAAGTGGATAGGGTTGATAACCCCTGAATTATTGTTTATCAAAGCTCACAGCTTGAGCTTCAGTTTCTTTCTTTTCTGATGCCTTCTTGGTTTCTCTTCCTTTCAACTTGTTATTTTTTATGGCACTTTCAATAATTTCTCCAGAGATCACCATGTTGACGAAATTCTTTTTTACATTCCTTATCATCTTTTCATAATAGGGAGATTTCAAAGTGCTGACAAATAATACTGTAGTTTCTTTCTTAGTTAGAGAAAGCTATACTTGAGAAGCAATATCCCTTCACCTCTAAGCATACTTTTTAAAAGTCTCATTGGCTTTTTTCTTTAGGTTTTGTAAAGATAAACGATCAGGGGTTAAATCCATGATATGTTGATATTGACTGATAAAATCATGGGCCATGTCACTCCAGGAATGGATGCGTGTTCTATCTAACTGGATATACCACCTAACAACAGAACCTGTAAGACTGTCTTGAAAAACATGCATTAGTAGCTTTTCGTCATGAGCATGGGCTGTCATCTTTTGATAATACATGGTAATATGAGTTTTTTGGCATTTTGTACCATCATATTTTTCAAATTCTGGTACTTTGAACTTAGGAGAAACGACCACATTAGGGACTAAGCAAAGCCCAATAGCATCAACTGAACCATAAACACCAATTCCTTCCACAGCTCGTAGCTTTTGTTCTAGTATACTAATTTTAGAGTTTTCTTGTGCTTTCACTTTTATCTTTTCCTTGTCTTTTTCTTTCAGTTCATCCAGATCAGGGATTTAAATTGGTTCAACTGCCTTTTCAGTAAAGACAGGATTCACATAGCTATGGTAATGCCCTGGATTAGAAGCTGATGGCATTCCAGGATATATAGGATATGTGAAGTGTTGTAGTGAAACTTCTTGTGTAGACTGGGATTGAGGTGGATCAAAATCAGGTGGATATAAGGAGTCAGTCACTTCTTGCGATATAAGACCTTGTTGGCTTATGTTCTCTTCTATTCCTCTCTCCTTATTTAATTTGTTGATAGCATCCAAAATTTTACTTAACTTATTCTCAATCTTTTCTTGTGCTTTTTCTAGCTTTTCAAATACATGAGAGTTTTTCTGCTCCATTTGTCTGGTTTTGGCTCTTGTGTTATATCGATGGATAGGGTTCTCGCTAGATGGAGCTATCCTTGAACCTTTAGCATCACAATTATGATTAGAAATACTATGCTATGCTTTATGTATGATATGTTGATGGACGAATGAAATATACATTTTCATGAATGAAATCTAATATAAAATGGATGCAAATGATAATGTTAAAACATGATCATGAAAATAATACATAAGCACAAAATCAGACAAACAACATGGTTAGTTTCACAGATAAATTGAAAATGATGTCGATGCATAATGTTACATATGATAATAAAAATGATACACAAAGTCAGATAATCAAAATTATTAGATAAACACCCTTTTTGTGTCTTAGTTTTAGGGTATATCTATCATTGGGTAGAAAGGGCTTTATCCTAGGTTTAGGCACTTCTAAGTTTCACTATATGTGGTTCAAGGTTAAAATCTAAAGGTTTTCAAATTGCTCCTTACATCATTATCCATCACAGACTAGTAAGGTACCTTAATCCTTACTCATTACAGGCTACAAGCGAAAAAATGTTCAATTTGAATGAAAGTATTTCATTAGTCACTGCGGAAGCATCAAACCTCACGAAAGCAATAAGTACTTTACTCCCTCCTAGAGGGACGAAGCTCGAGTATAGAGCTCATGTTATGCATATGCATATGAATGACATAATTAATAAAGTAAATAAACATGAATGAATAAAAAATCTATACAAAAAGGTTCAATTTTATTAGGCTTTTGGATAACACAATTTATTTGCTGGCTTGACTCTCAGAGTTCCTTAATGGAGTCGCCAAGCTGTAATAACGTCTAGATCCGAAGATCTATCGCTAGACATTGACTTGAAGGAGTCGTCACTAATCTTTTTTATCTAGATGTGATTGGTCACTTAAGGAATCTATCCTTTCAGGGAACACCTAAGTTTAAAGGTTCCTACAAGAATAGGTTCGAGTCTACTAACCAGAACAGGGTTCGAGAGTTTGGTTACGTGTGAGGAAGGTTATAACACCCTCACAACGCCCATCAAAAAATAGTACCAGCTTAATTTTGTATTATCCAATAAGTCTTAAAAATTTATCAAGTAATTAGTTGTTAGAAATTATTCTCAATTGACTCTAATACTTTTAGCAAAAAATTGAAAAAATCTCATCACCTCAAGAGTATGCAAGAAAACTATTGTTTCACTTGTAGAGGCTCCATTGTCAGATTATTTAACATTAAAAAAATTCAAGAAAAATAAAAAAAATAAAATAAAAATGATTGCTTTTGTACAAGAAAAATTGATACTTTCAACTTCTCCCTAAGAAACTTTAATTTCGAGAAAAATTGATACTTTCAACTTTTCTTAAAAAAAAAAAACTTTATTGAAAATTTATTTTTAAGGAAAATTGATACTTTCAACTTTTTTTCAAAAAAAACCTTTTTTTTGAAAATTTATTTTTTAAAAAAATTGATACTTTCAACTTTTCTCAAAAAATATTTTTTTGGAAACTTTAATTTCGAGGAAATTTGATAAAATTGATACTTTCAACTTTTCTTCAAAAAAATATTTTTTAAAAATTTATTTTTAAGAAAAATTGATACTTTCAATTTTTCCTTAAAAATATTTTCTTGGAAACTTTAATTTCGAGAAAAATTGATACTTTCAACTTTTCCTCAAAAAAACTTTTTTTTGAAGATTTATTTTTAAGGAAAATTGATATTTTCAACTTTTCTCCAAAAATATTTTTTTGAAAAGCTTATTTTCAAGAAAAATTGATACTTTCAACTTTCCTCAAAAATATTTTTTTTGAATTTTATTTAAAGAAAATAAAATAAAAGTAAAAATAAAGGAAAATAAAATTAAAAAAAGTATTAAACAAATCTAATCTAATGAATAAATAATAATAAAAAATAAATAAAATAAAAAATGAAAAAAAAAAACCTGAAACGGCTCGACTAACGGCTTGGCTCGGTTCAACTTGAGAAAGAAAAAATGGCTTGGAGAAGCGGCTCGGCTCAAGAAACGGCTCGCACTTGGGTTGAACGGGGGTCGAAGCTCAGATCGGGTCGGATCTTGACATAATGCGCGGATCCTTTGGGTTACTTAAGGTAGAAACGACGTCATTTTGGGGGGGGTATATAAGGCTGAAAGTTAGTTTTTTTCTCAGAATCCCTTCTCATCTTCTCTCTCTTCCCTTCTTTCTTCTCTCCATTCTCTCTAAAAACCCAAAAAACTTCGGTTGAATGCCCGTCGGATTCTGAAAATTTTAGCCAAAATCTAGATTTTTCGTCAGAAGTTCATCGAAAAGTTGATCGGGTTCTGAAAATTCTTATCGAAAACTGGGCAGCTGGCCGAAAAGTTTAAACTTGGCCGAAAAAGTAGCTAAAAAATAAAATATCATCAGAAAAAATAAACCGAAATTTGAAAATTTTTCAAAAATTTTCAAAAAAAATTCACCAAAAAATTCTAAAAAATTTCCACCGATTCCTAAAGTTGTTCTAAAGCACCCAAACCCTTTTTTAGCTTCTGTTTCTTCTCTGTGTTTGTCTCTGTGTGCCTTCTTCTGTTTTTACAGCACTTATTTATAGGAATTGATCAGAAGAGTTTATGATCAATTCCAACTCTTTTTGGGATTTAGACTAGGGAAGGCAAAAACATCCAAATCCGTCAGCTTTCGACTCGACCCGACAGCTTAGGGTCGGTTTTTTTTTTTTAAAATCAGGTATCGGTTTGGGTCGGGGTCGGGTCGGGTAAAAAATTTTCGGAGTCGGGTCGAGGTCGAGTTTTAGGCAAACCCGACCCTACCCGACCCGATATATATAAAAAAATTATTTTTTTAATTTTATATTTAATTATATATATTTTTATATATATTTAATTTTATATTTATATTTAAAATAATATTTTATTAATTTCGGATCGGGTCGGGTTCGGGTATTAAAAATTAAAAAAAATTGTCGGGTCAGGTACGAGTTCGGGTATTACATATTTAAAATCAGGTCGGGTTCGGGACGAGCAAAAACCCGCCCCACCCCGACCCATTGCCATCACTAATTTAGACTCAATCTTTGAATCCAATCCCAATTCTGTCAATTCTCAAATCACAGCCAAATTTATTCCAATTTTTTTATCCTAATCTTAACCGAAAATTAATCAAAATAAAAAGATAAATATATTAATAGATAACAAAAAAAATAATTAGATAAATAAAAGAAATAGATAAATAATAATAAAAAATAAAAGCAGATAAATAATAAAAATATTAATAGATAAAAAAATAAAAAAATATATTAAATAATAAAAATAAAAATAAAAACCCATTGGGGCCAACTAATTGGATCCTAAATCAAGTCCAATGAGCTTAGACCCAAATCTTATTGGACCAGACCCTATGAATTTGTGTTCGGATTAAATAGGGTATCTACATTAATCATGTGCATTTCCTTTGTATATATTTTTATGGATGTGCAAAGTATAAGGTAACATGGGTTCACTTCTGAAAATTCTTCACTGCTTTCTCATTGTTTATAAATGAAAATAAAAACAAAAAAAAGTTATTTAATCTACTATCTAGAGTTTTTAAATTTCATAATCAATGTTAATAAAATGATATATACCTTTAAGTATATTTAAAAATTAATATATATATATCAATTTTCTAACATCATTTATAAAATTAAAAATTAAATTATAATATAAAAAAAAACATTAATTATTATAATTTAAAAGTCAATCTCCAACACCAAATAACAAATAACAACTTCAAGTTCATGATGAGGAAGCAAATTAGGATTCTTATCTATTATTAGGGGTCCTATCCCAATTACATTATAACAAATTACGTCTTAACATCAATAATCCATAATTAACATTTAACAAAGTATAGGATCAAAGAAGCTTTCAGTCAAGTAATTCTTCAATACGGCATGCATTCATGTGCTTTTCTAGTCACTCCTTTAAAGTTCCATTGAGAGCTTCCCTTGATCTCATCACTTCAAAACCCTTGACATCTGCTTTTTTCATGATCCTCAGCCTTTTGCATGATTCAATAAACAACCTGCAAAATATTATTGATTAACCTACTAATTATTAGCTTTTACAACATAATTTTTGCTTGCTTTTTTTTTTTTTTATGAAAAATTGTATTCATTTATTTGCTTATTTGAATAAAAAATTTTCCATTTGTTTTAAATTTTTGGAATTTGTGGTGGCCAACAATCTTCTCTCACTAATAATTTCTGGGCTTGACGAGGTTCGTTATTTGAGGGCCATGTAATCGTAGTCAAACCGACATCATTATATGGAGTTAATTGGCCAATGTTGGCAATATTGGTCCAGCCTAATGGAATCCAAGCATGGTGCAAAATTTACAAATTTTGCCACTTTAAATTTCTTTACAACAATAACAATATAAACTAAATTATATATATATATATATATCCAGTAACTCTTAAAATCGGTTATATAAAAATAAAAAAAATTATATTAAGTTATAATTTTAAATCCTCTTACTATCACTTTGTATTTTTATACGAAAATAAAAAATTATGTTCCAAAGTATTATTTACTTATTAATTGGAAACAGTTAGATAGCTTTTGGTTGTTTCATGGTGTGGAACATGATTTCACAACATTTCTAGCAATTCGATTACATGAATTTTATATAAAACAAGCTTGATCAATGTGAAAATTTTTATGACCCTTAATTTGTTCAATGATAAAAAATAATTAAAAAAAAACTAGTGATTATAATTAGAGAATTACGACTATGATTATCTAAGAAGTTGCATGCTTTACCCAGCATGTAATCATGATTTACCCCTTAATTAAGTACTTTTGAGAAAGCTAATGTCCAACGCTTTTTCCCCAACAATCTTTTGACCAATACACACACTTTGGAACATTTTCAAAATGTCATGGCAAATTTCTTCGTCCAATCGAAATATCAATGTCTAAACTATGGGAAACAAGGATGTGATATTTTTAACTTGGTATGGATTTATTGATAAAGTTTTCAATAAATAGAGTTCTAAAACATAAAATGTCAGGTCAATATTCACATTTAATTCGTGATTAATGGAATAATAATCATAATATATATGACAGTCAAATTAATGGTGGTTGGAGAAAAAGACTTACTCCCAGGGAACGTCTCCTGCTAGCATCCAGTCTCCATCTTTGTCTTCATATATGGGAACGAATTCACAGCTGTCTGCATCCCGTAACGCCTCCCCTGTAAACAATCATATACCCCAAAACATAATTAATTTTGTTATGCATTTATTTCTTTTTCAAGCACTTAAGTAATTAATTAATTGATTAATTGATTTGTTTTCTTTATATATTTATCTCTGATTATAGTTTTTTTGAGTTCAACTTCGTGCAATTAAATTTTCTCTACAGGAAAGTATACATATTTATTATTTATTAATGGTCATTACCTTTTTTCTACACGTGACAAATCCTATTAAAAATTCCTAAATTCCTTCCACGAGGGTGGAAATTTTGATAAAAAAAAAATTAGAAGGGTTGAATTTACCAATCTCTCTTTTTTTTTTTTTTTCCTTTTATTATAAATTGAACTTTTTTGTTGAATGTTCCGAATAATTGACTGAATTATACAAATAATCCCTCTGTTCTGATTCTATATTAAGATTCGAATTTAAAACTTTAATTTGCATAGTGAAAATAATTTAAAGATGGAGCAAAAAAACAAAAAGAAGGAACTAAGCACTCACCAAAGAGCTTCTCCAATGCCGAAGCAAGATCAGAGTAACCTTTGAGCATGCCTAAATCAAATTTGCGAAGAAAAGGAGCTCCATCCATGCTAACTTTCACGTACATTTTTGATGTTTTAGACCCATCTTTGTTGTTGAAATTGTTCTTCTTTCTATACGAACATACCGGTGGCCACCCCACAACTTGACTCTTGCTTTGCATTTTCTGCCCATTGATCTTCCCATTTTCATCCTCCTCTGAAATCTCTGAGAAAACCCTTTTCTTCTCACTTTTGTCAATTCCAGCATCCCCAGGGAGACCCAACCTCAGCTCCGTGATTTCGAGTCCAAGACCTGCCGTGGCCATTTTCTCTGATGATTATGGCTTACAAGTTTGCAGTTCTTCTTTTGCACTTTTGGTTTTCAATTGTGTGTGTTTTTCTATGCTAATTATGAAGATATATAGGGTTTTAAATAGTATAAGATATGGAAAATAAGGCTAGTTTCTATTCAAGGTAAGGAGAATGGAGGACATAGTGGGAGCAATTACAGGTCAACTAAGGCATAGTGGTCGGTCACATGAGAGGCAAAAGTGGGGACTTCGTGTCCCCCTTAAAACACAATCAAAGGCCGGCACCAGAAGTTGGACATGTGGACATGATCCTAGGGCTGTTTTGGGGTCGGTGATATGGATTTGATCCTGGCCATTTGATTTGGTGAATTTGAAACAGGTCCATGTGAGATCTGCCGGTTTGAAAGGGTCTCTTTTGCTATAAATCATATGGAAATACCGCCCAAAAACGGCCCCATGATTTAGAGGCAACTATATATGTTTTTGCAATATTCATATTATACTTATTAGCCATGATTTTTTTTAATTTTTTATACAATCGATTTCAAAATTATAAAATATAAAACTTAATTTGTTATTATTTTAATCATAGCCATATAATGCTGTGCGCCATTCATACCTAACCTGCTTTATTTAGAAATGCCATTGCCTATTGGTATATACTACTATGCAGGTAAAAGACTTCGAAATTAAGTAAAGATCTATGTCCTTGTAAAACCATCTTCATCATCATGATGTAAAAAGACATGCATTTTTTAAAATCGGAGATGTGTTAAATGGTTTGAATTCAAAATCAAGGTGAGAATATGGAAATAGGGACATTTTCTGTAAATAATACAAAGTACTTTAAAAGCAAAACTTTAATTTCTCACATTCGGAGTATTTTGACAATATATTGAACTTTTCTCATTCTCTCCATCTTTTTCTCTGTTGTTTCAGAACATGCATTAACCCTTGTAACAACACTTTGGCTTTGAATTCGAAGAGAGCTTAGCTCATGTGATTTATGTAATCATTCTTAAAAAATAATATTTAATAGATTTAAAATTTAAATATTGTAAACATTGATTTTGTTCGGATTTATTATTTTCAATTCTCGTGTAATATTAATAATAATAATAATTTTAATAATAATAATAATAATATTGGTTTAATTAAAATTAAAAATTAATTAATTAAAAAATAAATAAATTTAAAAAAAAAAACAAAAATGTCCAAATGAAAAAAAAAAACATAAGGGCCGGTGCCAGAGGGTGCCTTACACGGCACCACTGGCTACCCACATCCTTGCCTAGTCATCATGCCATTACCCTAGCCATCATATAACTTCTTTGTCCAGTCCCTTCACTGGGGCACTATGGCTCCATCAGCACACCCCTACCACTCTCGAATCTTCAGATAGACGCCCAAAACCCTAGCACTTGCGAAAACCCAAAAGTTTTCTCACACTCCCACCAGACTCACCCACTAGCAGCGATCCTTCTTGACCCACACAAATACCCAAACAAAAAAACAAAAGCAAAATCAAACGGTCATCCCCGTATGGAGGATCCTCAGTGCCAAAGCTCTCTTGCAATAAAGAAAAAAATATTGTCAGTTTGAGTTCTAAAAAAAAATAAAAAAAAAAGAACATCAAAACTTTAAGCTTTGATTTACGTCGATCAGGGCTATTTCTGATGAAAAGAAGGTCGGATCTGAGCTCAGGAGGTCGAAAGAAACTTTCTAGTAAATTTTGACATTTTTCGACTATCGGCGACAACTTTAGGCCGCGATCGATGTGACGACCGACGCCAGATTCTGGCAAAGCCAAAGTGGATTTTTTGGAAGTTAGGGATTTTTTCGGGTAAAAAGGAAAAATGACCAAAAAAATTTTTTAGGCCTTTTATAAAAAAGGCATAAACCAAGAAAGATCCGCGCGTGGACTCGGATTCGATCTGGGATCTGAGCAACCAACCCACCAACCCGGCTCGTCATATAGCTTTGAACCAATTTGACCAGACTGGATCGAATCGCTCCTCAGACCGAACCGAACCATTCCCCATACGGCTCAACCAAACCACGCGTTAAACCAACCCTTTTTTGGTCTGACCAAACCGCCGTTGACTGATCCGATTCAGATAAAAAAAATTTTTTTTAATTTTTTTATATATTATTTCTGTTATTTTAAAATTATTATTAATGTTCATGCATGATAAAAATATTTAAACATGTTAAAAAAATTTTTATAATAATATTAATAAAAATAAATAATGTATTCAAACTTTTGAAAAATAAATAAATAAATAAAACAAGAATAATAACAAAAAATGCTTAAAAATAATAATATTTAAAAAAAAGAATAAAATAATATATTTGTTATTTTTTCTGCCTAGATGTTGGAGGGAATAAAAACTTTAAACTCTAAAATATAATTTCGCTTAGATGTTGGAAAATTATATTATTAAAAAATAATAATAATAATAATAAGATTAATAAATAAAAAAACTAATAATAATAATAATAAAATTTCATTTAAATATGTATAAAGTATAATATTCTTAAAATTCATAAAAATTGAACTTGTTCCGAAAGTTCGCATAGATTTTGGAGATTTTAGAGATATTCGCGTTTTAAAATTTAAAAAAATTAAAATCAAAACCTAAAATTTTAAAATCCTAAAAATTTAAAACCTTAAAATCAAAATCATTAACCCCAAACCCTAAAACTGAAATCTCAAACCTTAAAATTAAAAAATCCCAATTCTTAAAATCCAAAACCTAAAGATCTAAATTTCTAACAGCCCTCTTGAAATCCAAAATCCCAAATTCCAAAATTCAAAATCTAAAAATTCAAAGGTAAAGACCTTAATTTGATACATATTTTCAAATTTTTAAAATTTTGGGACCCTAACCTTTAAAATATCGACTTAAGCTATAACTAAAACTATCTAAAAATCCTAAGGATACGTGTGAAAATCTCGCTTAAAGTAATTTGTTCCCGAATGCCACCTAAATGATGGGATATTTAGGAAATTTTATTTCATTAAGTTTTTTCAAACCAATTCTTAATTCGTTTTAATAATTGGACTAATTAACAATAAAGGTATAATAATAAAATGGGATCTTAAATATAAATAGTCACGTCTAAGCTTTGCTTAGATGTTGGAGAGTCAAGATGGTCTCATTATATTTAAGAATCCATTGTTTGTATTGCATAATATTCATCGGCATACATACGCTATCATGTTATCATTAACAATCATTTGCATTCTTCTATTTTTTATTTATTTTATTTTATTTATTTACCACTTGATGATAAAATATTTTATAATAAAAAGGGATAATACATTTTTTAAAAATTTGTGATATTATAAAATAAAAATAACATTCCGAAGAAAATGATTATTGATACTTTGCCTAGATGTTGAAGAGTTATCAACAATTATCTTCTATAAAGAGTGTTATTTCATTTTAAAGGATATTGTATTAAATTTCAAATGAAACGAGTCATCTTAAATTCTATTGAAATATTGGAGAATTTTAAGATAATTCTTTAACTTAAATATTTTCTCAAGATTTCTAAATAAAAAATTTTAGCAAAAAAAAGTATTTCTTTAAACGAAAGGAATTAGTATTAAATCTCAAGTCAAAATCATTTTATCCGACATCGAAAATAGCGCATAATTAAATGATACCAATTTATGGGCGTTGTAAGGGTATTAATTGTTTCTCACATATAATCGACTCTCGAGCCTAACCTGATTTTTCGTAGATCAAAATTTATCTTTTTGATAAACTTTAAATCCGTTTTTATAGTTTTATTAAAAAGATAAATTTTTGGGTGATTAATCACACCCTAACAAAGATTGATGGTGAATCATCTTTTATTTTTTCTAATTATAAAACACTTTACGTCAGACAATCCAAAAATCGTTACGACAAATATTAGCATATGTAATCTTTTTCTCTATCCTCAAACTAGGGCTTTTTATATAAAAACAAATATTTAGCTACATGCAGGATGCAGGAAATTGGTAAAAGAAAATTAAACAATAATTTCAATGGGAAACCATTATTTTTAGGATTATTAGTTTATACACAAATGGTGAAACTCTTAACTCTATAAGTAGGTTTGTATAATTAACACGAATCTATATGATAATTATTTTAATTTGTTAATTTCCTAATATTATAACCAAATTGATATATAATAACTCTATAAACCAATTTGTAGAATTTAAAACTGCTAGCTGAAGATAATTTTCCTTATTTTTAACTATAAATCGAAAATTACATACTAATTTTATTTCAATTTTCCCGCTTACAACTACAAAGAATTCTTCCTGTTCATTACCTCTAAATATTTAATCTTATGATCCTATCAAATATAGGATTTTACTAATTAACAGCACAATACAATGGGTTATCATCAAGATTTTTCTCTAATAATTGTATTATCAGAAACAAGTATAATTGCTTGTTTTTTATGCTTGGGGTGCACAAATTATTAGTAAATGTTCAGATACTTAGACCATTATTAATGTGTATGAGGACCATATAATGTTCAAATTAATGTTGCAGACCATTAAAATTATTATGCGCAGGGATCGATGGTACATGCATGCAAGGATGCATGGATCATAAATTATAGCAAGTATAATGTCATTACTGACATTTGATCGATATGTGGCAACATACTTGAGCTAGCTTATGAAGGATCATGTCTGAAAGTATAGAATCTCATGCATAAGAAATGATGTGCATTTAATCATGTACATAGCCAACACGAACAGAAGAGGTGATCCAGCAAGTAGGACCTGACTGAGGTTTCTTCTCTTGTAAGGGAACTTCCAGCAGAGTCAACTCCATTTTTCAATCTAAGGGTCCCTAAGGCCATTACCGCTTCGAGGATTGCTGTCCAGGTTGCCTGTTATACGCCAGCAATGGTACTCTAGCTGGAAAGTGCTTGTTCTATTTTCAATCTCGAAGAAAATTTTTGCTATGGGAATTTATTTTCAATGGGAAAAGTACCCTTCTTTAATTTTCTATAAAAAAAAAAACTAGCATCCTTTTGTAAGTCATATATAAGAAAGCACCATTACTTTTCCATGGTACAGTTTTGCACGATAAGACTGTAGGAAGAAAA